GAAATTATGCATTTTTATGCACCTCAGATCTAATTATGAGACATTGCGGTCAAACATACTTAGTAGAGAGTCTATACCTGATCTAGAAATGATCCTCAAAGAGTTATTAAGAGTGGAAACTCTTCTTACTCAGTCCTGTCTTGATCAAAAGAAAAAACATGGAATAGATGTTTTTTTGGCTACCAAACAAAAAAAAAGGAAAAAGTACTTTTTGAAGATGTAGTGCTATGAATTCAAGGAATTTAGGCATGCAACATCTCCTTGCAAGAAGAAATATTTTGTACCTACTATAAACAACAGGGACATATTATTGTGGAATGACAACTGACAACATAAGGCTTATCAGGCTTTAGCCGAACCAACTGATACGTCTTCCTCCTCATTAGCTCACAAAACTGATTCACAAGGCACTTTAATTGAAGATAAGATTCGTGAGCTTATATCTTTGGCTATTTCCTCTACTTTTTTGCTATTGGTCTAATTGATATGTCTGCTCACTTGTGTTCTTCTCCTCATATGTGGATTATTGACTCTAGAGCCTCAAATCACATGATTGTGGCTCCTTTGGCCAATCTCCTAAACCTTACACTTTTGCTTATTACTTTATTATTGTTAAAGGTGAATCTCTTCCTATATGTGGTTGTGATGATTTATTTATACGCACTTCTTAGTCTATTCCTTTACATCTCCCCAAAACCTTTTTTTTGTGCCTAAGCTGACTACTAATATGATTTATGTTGGACAACTTGTTAATGATGGCAATAATGTCCTATTTTCTTGTGATGTTTGTTTTATCTAGGACCAATACATTGGGGAGCTGAAGGGGAAGGGGTGTAGGATTGGGAGGCTATTTTCTCTGGAATTTGAATATTTGTTCTCTTCTAGTTGTTTGCCTATGACTAATTCTTCATTTAAAAATGTTGATAAATCTTGCTTAACCTGTTGCTATAGTAAAAGTCAAGTTTACAATGTTTAGTATCTCATGTTATTTAATGCTTGGGTTACAAATATATTGTGTTATTTAGTGATGATTGCACTAGATATACATGGATTTATTTTCTTCACAAGAAATCATAAGTTTTTCCACATTTAAGAATTTGCATGCCATGGTTACGACCCAACTTAAAAGTGCTACAGGCATCTTAAGGTTTGATTCAGGGGGGAGGGGGGAATGTTATGATGATAAGGATGGTGAGTTTCAAACTTATCTCAAGCAACATGGCATTCAGTCCTAGAGGTCTTGTCTAGGTACACCTCAACAAAATGGGGTATTTGAGCGCAAGAATCGCCATATTGCTAGTATGGTGAGATCTTTGTTATAGGACTCTCATGTTTCCATTACCTTCTGGTGGAGGCGACCTACACTGTTGTATAACTTATTAATATCCTTCCTACCTTTGTTCTTGGAAACTCCTCTCCCTTTCTGTCTTTGTTTCATTGTCCACCTAATATGTCCATGCTTCATGTCTTTGGTTGTGTTTACTTTGTTCATATCCTCCTCATGAACATACAAAGCGATGTGTTGAATCAGTTATGTGTGCATTCAAGTGATATAGTATGGAATACAAGGGATTCCTTTGTTATGATCCCAAGGTCCGTCAATTGTGCATATCTCGTAATGTCATTTTTCTTGAGACTCTTTCCTTCTTTGAGCACATTAGTAAATTACCTACACCATCCTTTTCTATTTTGCATCATTTTGGTTCTACAAATGATCCTCCTCCTCTTAGCCCTCAGCAACTACAAGTCTATTCTAGGAAGCATCCCAATTCACTTAATGCCTAGGCCTCCATCTCCAGCACTAGTGACTGATCATTCCTCTCTACTCATCACTAATGTAAGTCTCTATTCTCATCCTATTACCTTACCTTCATTTGTTCCTTTATGCCGATCTTTGCRTATTTCTTGCCCACCAAACCACTATGCTTTCTTCTCTAGCCACAACTCATTTTCTGCTATCTTGTCCTCTATTGACATTCCCAAGTCCTACCACCAAGTTGTAGCAGTTAAGCATTAGAAAGATGCCATGGACTCATAGGTTCAATCCCTATTAGAGAATAATATCCAGGAACTTGTTTGTCCTCCACTAAATGCCTCCATCATTGGTAGTCGTTGGGTCTATTCAATGAAACTAAAATCACATGGTACTCTAGACTGGTATAAAGCCCTCTTGGTTGTTCAAGGTTACAAGCAAGAATATAGGATTGACTGATGAAACTTTTGTTCCATTTGCTAAAATGACAATTGTCTACTTACTTATGAGTTATGACTATTATTGCTCTTAGACAATGGACTATTCATCAAATGGATGTCAAGAATGGCTTCCTCCAAGGGCATTTACAAGAGATAGTTTACATGAAACCACCTCCTAGATATTGTGATAACCCTCACTTGGTGTGTAAGCTAAAGAAATCTCTATATGGTCTTAAACTAGCTCCATGAGCTTGGTTCGACCACTTTCATACAATTGTGTTGGATGTTGGTTTTCAGCAAAGTATATCATATTACTCTTCTTTCTACTTCAAGTGAGCACAAGGATTGACTCTCCTACTGGTATATACTGATGATATCCTTATCACAGGAGATGATGTGGAGGGTATTAATAACTTGAAACTCCTTCTCAGTAATTCTTTCAAGATGAAATATCTTGGGCCAATTACCTATTTTCTAAGCCTTGAAATTCAGCGATGTCCTTAGGGATACTTTGTCAACCAACAAAAATATGCCTTTGATTTAGTTGCAATGGCTTGCCTAATTGATTCTAAACAAGTTGATACGCCTTTAAAGCATGATCTTAAGCTGAGTAAGGATAAGGGTGAGCTCCTTTCAAATGCTACTTTATATCGACAACTTGTGGGTAGTCTTATCTACCTCACAATGACCCAATCGGATATTTCTTATGCAGTTCAACTGGTTAGCAAATTTGTTTCTTCTCCCCACCAACCCATCTTTTTAGAAGTCTTTCGAATCATTCGTTATGTCAGGGGAAGTTGCCCTGACACTCATCATTCTACTACTGGTTGGGGTATCTTCCTTGGGGATTTTCTAATTTATTAGAAATGCAAGAAACAACAAACGTTTTCCAAGTCATCTACTGAAGTGGAGTATCGAGTGATGTCTTTTGTATGTAGTGAAATAGTTTGGTTCAAGGATCTATTCTGTGATATGGATATTGATCTTTCATCCTCCATCCCTCTATTTGCTGATAACATGAGTGCCATCAATATTGCATCCAACCAAGTTTTCCATGAGCGTACTAAAACACATTGAGGTGGATTGTCATTTCATTCGATATCTCCTTGCTAGCCACATCTTTCTTCCACATATCTCATTTGGCTTGCAACTTGTAGATCTCTTCACCAAAACTATAACTAAGTCATGATATAATTTTCTTATGGACAAACTAATGCTTATTTGCTAGCATCAATTCGAGGGGAAGTGTAGAAAAGAGAAAGGGTAGTTTTGTACTTTTCTTTCTTTATTTGTATATTATTAGGCATGTATACAAGTGTACAACCTTGTCTTATTATTTCTTTTGTAAGGACAATCTTATCCATTTACCTTTTAATATAAATATATCTTTTCTAGGTTGGATCGACATTAGATCAACCCTAACAGCCTTAGAGTTGTCTTGTTACACTCTTACTAGTCTCTCTCTCTCTCTCTCATAGGTTAATAAGGAGAGCAGTCTTGACATGTATTTGTCAGATCTTGTAGTCATAGTGTGTAGTTATCGCCAACACTTTCTAATGGACTCAGCATAACCATAGGTAAGAATGTTTTCTCATAATTGATTCCTTCTTCCTATTGAAGATCCATTTGCAATCTATTATTTTTACCCTAGGGGTGGTTCTATAAGAGTCCATACTTCTATAAAGTTTGATTCCTTCTTTCTGATACACTATTCAATTATTGTATAGTAGGGGTGACATTTGTGAGATAATTCTGTTATTCCTCAAGTAGACCCTAAATTCATTACAAGGATATTCATCATCTTGATCTGATTGAAGTTCTTTGATTTATCTCCTTAAATGTTTCTTAATTTTTTGTCTAAATTATTTGATTTTTTTTAAATGTTTCAAATTTGCGTCTCATTAAGCACACATATCCATACTATGAATAATTGTCGATAAAAATTATGAAATAATTGTGTCAATTACATATCCTAATATTCAAGCGACGACATACATCTTTAAGTATCAAGTTAAGTGTGTCTGTACTTTTTTCAGTTTTACCGGTTAAATGTTGTTTTATCATCTTACCTTATAGTTATTGTTAGAGAGTCCTAAAAACCATCCTAATCCAATCTTGTGATTCTTTCTATGTTGAATGGCCAAGCCAGTAATTTCAATTGAATGGTAATTTCATTGATAAATAGAATTAAATAACCATTCATGCACAACTTAAAAACCAAAATTAAATTTCTTCTAAATTGGGATGCATAAAGAAAATATTTAAATACTATAACTCCTTTCCTAAATTCTAAAACTATTGTTCTTATAAAAGCAACTGTAACATTTGTCTTAATCCCCATATAAAGCACCTCATATCACCCAAACTTCTACTTTTTTTAAACCCTTGTAAGGTATTACAAGCATGAATAGAAACCACAGTAAATACATTAAAATGCAGAAATGACTAATATATTGGTGTCTCAATATGGCCTAAGTTCTCAAGAACCTCAATGCCATTGTAATAGTTGTGACCATGAAAATGGAAACTAACCAGAGTATATTTGTTGAATAAAATATACAATAAAAGCTGAAAACCGTAGCTTGTATTGGAAAAATTCCTATTTATTGACGTTGAAAGCTCTTAGAATAACTCTCAAATTCCTGTTGCGATACTGGCATACTGCTAATTCTTTATCTTCATTGTAACTTGTTAATTAAAAGGGTAGCCTAGTGCACAAGGCTTCCTCCAATGCGGGGTCGAGGGAGGGACAGATTACACAGCCTTACCCCTGCACATAGTTGTTGTTTTCAAATATAACTTGTTAATTAGAACTAAAAGCAAATTAAATTGATAAATCCTCTTAACTACAAAGTACAAACTACGTGTATTCTAGCTATGTTCTTTTTCACTCAACATGTATTAATTTCTGTAATGTCATTCACATACTTAATCTATGAGATTGCTTTCTTTAGAAATAAAGTGGTTGAAAACTTGTACATGAAAGTACAGAAGAGATTCATGAGAAGCTTGAAATCATGAGAACCCTGAAAATTTTTATAGAGCATCCCTCATCTATGTTGATGACAATGCTCTTGAAGTCTCTGCAAATGTTGTTATTGTGGCAGCATATTCCAGGAGATCATATCAAGAGGTTAATCAGACCTTCTCTTAGTCCTCCTTATCCTCAGGTCGATATTCTCTACTTTGCTTCTTGGTCAAAGAGCTACTTGAGTCATCAACTTGAGCAACAGTGTGTCTCTGAGGTACATCATCYTCATCCGGTTTCTGAAGTGTTTGGATAAGCATGAGGACAGCAATCACAAAGACAATCAGGTATATGGTTCTAATGCTGATTAGTGAATTGATGTAGCCAACAAGCGAGGGACCTCTGATTCTTTTCTGCACTGTTCTTCCTTCTCTATATCCTTCAAGGAATCGTGTTATTTGGGACCCCTGATCCTCCTCATCCATACTTTCTGAACCTATAACCTTTGCACATAAAATTGAAAGAACATAAAGATACAACTTATTATATCCTCACTCAAAAAGAAACAAATACTGATAACAAGTTGAACACTTGTAAAAAAACAATGTGAAAGAAGAACAACATATTTAAGCAGTAAATATTGAAGATGTTTCTTATCAATGTGTTGCTTTTATTCTTTTTAGTAGTGATCCACATACTGCTTTGAAAAATTGTGTTGTCCAGCCTTTACATTCTTACGTTCTGAGTGCTAATCATGTACAATCACAAGTGACAAGTTCAGATAGGAATGCTTCCAGAAGATGCACAATGTATAATATTACATATCTATAAATGTACAGCCTAACAAATACATGATAATCATATAAATAAATCATTTTTACTTTTAGATATTTAGTTGAAGAGCTTAGCATGCTATCATCTTATGCACGGTATTTGCATTCTGATTGCACAAAATACTAATTGTAGCTTACAAGATTCTGCCAGAAGAAAATTCAAAGCATCAGAATATGGTTTAAAACATGACTCGTTTTAAAATATCAGCCCCATTACAGTAACATTTTTTATTGGTAACCCTCTTAGAGTAAAATTTCAATGCTGAGTGAATGGGTTTGGAATGACTTGTTTTGCATCAGCTAGGAAATTAAATAATAATAAAGATAAGAGTTGAGATTTAAGAGTGTAAAAGATACGAGTATTACTTTTTGAGATACAAGTTATTACTTTACCTCTCTCTCTCTCTCT